AAGGAGATTGTAAGCCGCTCTGAGACTCCCTTGGGTAGTGAAGGGCGGGGTATAGATCCAATCTCTTCTTCTTCTCTTCTAGTGCGGATGGTTGCACTGGTGATGCTCTAGCAAGGCTCCGCGCCATTGCCTCACAGATGTCTGGCCATGGCACAACAGGAGCAGGTTGCTATGCCAGCATGTCTCAGAGAGAGACACTAGTGTATCTCCTTCTTCTCTTCTAGTGCGGATGGTTGCACTGGTGATGCTCTAGCAAGGCTCCGCGCCATTGCCTCACAGATGTCTGGCCATGGCACAACAGGAGCAGGTTGCTATGCCAGCATGTCTCAGAGAGAGACACTAGTGTATCTCAAGGATATGCCACCATAGCACCTGCTTGGCTTTCTGAGTGCTTCCCCACCCCTGGGATTGTGCTGTTAGTCTGGAAAAGCAGCAAGCCTAGTTCTCAGACACAGAAGATTAGGTGACACATATGCCTGTACCCCTCCAGATTGCAGGTGGGGGCACACATCATAGAATGCTCTTGTTTAGGAAGAAAATGGCCTATCAATGGGAAACAAGCATGTCAAGGAAAAGAGTACCAGCCTGCCCCCGCCCCCGTGCTCGTGCAGAATCATGGCCCTGGATATGGATTTTTGTAGCAGGAACTCCTCTGCATATTAGGCAACACACCCCTCATGTAGCCAGTCCTCCAAGAGCTTACAGAGCTCTTCTTACAGGGGCTACTGTAAGCTCCTGGAGGATTTGGCTACATTAGGGGTGTGTTGCCTAATGTGCAAAGGAGTTCCTGCTACAAAAAGAGCCCTGCAACACACCCTAATGTAGCCAATCCCCCAAGAGCTTACAGAGCTCTTCTTACAGGGGCGACTGTCAGATCCTGGAGGATTTGGCTCCATTAGGGGTGTGTTGCCTAATGTGCAGAGGAGTTCCTGCTACAAAAAGAGCCCCAACACACCCTAATGCAGCCAATCCTCCAAGAGCTGACAGAGCTCTTCTTACAGGGGCTACTGTAAGCTCTTGGAGGATTGGCTACATTAGGGGTGTGTCGCCTAATATGCAGAGGAGTTCCTGCTACAAAAAGAGCCCTGCACGCGGCCCTGGCTATCTGGCATTTATCCAGACTGTAGAAGGCAAGATAGTAAAAAACAAAGGAGGGTGGTCGTTCAGGTTAAGCTTGGTTGGGGCTCAGATACCTGCCTTGAAGCTGTGGCTTTTTTTCTTGTTAACGACCTTTATCTCAGCTCCCCAGATCGAGCCATCCCATGTGGAGAATGTGCTGGTGCCCTGTGCCTACAGCCCCACGTATGTGGTGAAGGACTTCCCAATTGCCCGCTACCAGGGCCTGCAATTTGTAAGTGTCCCATAGACTCTCGCCCCACCTTCTCTGTCCATAGGGAGGTATCCCAGAATGTTTCTCCATCCTTCTTGCCATCACTTGCCATGATAATCTCTACTCCTCGGAGTGTCTGTTCGTGCCTGACATAATCCGAAAGGCATCAATGGACTTGTGTGGGCAGCCGAAATTTGTGTTAAGAGAGTTCAGAATGTTTTATCGGGGTCTGGATGGTTGCCCGTGAACCAGGAAGGAGAGGTTCTGTGGTCCAGAACGGAAGGGGAACTGTGCTGAGCACCGAGCATCCTAGTTTGGTCCCTTTAACATACAGAACCTGTTTGCAATCTGATTTTGAGTGAGAAAGCCAAGTTTAGACTCTACATCACAGTGCAGAGGCAGGTGTAGTTTCTTCTCCCTTTGACTTTACTTGGGCCCCGGTCACATGGGCCAGATAACGCGGGGGGGAGGCGTGGCTATTAGCGCCGTCACTACTTGAGCCGCTGCAACGCGATCAGGCGTGACAGTAGCAAACCGCATTGTTTTTGTCGGCAAGTGGTTCTTGCAGCGCTTCAGCGGGGCAATCAGACGGAGACAGTCCATCTGCGGCCCATGGCAAACCGTTTGCTAGTAGCTCGTGGGCGGTACTTTTTAACGCCGGATCTTTCGCGGTAAACGACAGGCTGGGGACGGGCGGGCGACACTTCCCAGATGTTTCCGTATGATCGCGCCCGTTTAATCCGTCCGGCAGTCGTGCCTTTCCCGAGGCAAATTCTCCGTGTGACCGGGACCTTGGTAGAGTTCATTTCTGTTGCCCCAGGTAAAAGACCTGTCCCCTGAAGTGCGCCCCAGAATATTTTCTGTTACACTGTATAACTCATCCCTTTCTCTTCCTCCACCATCCTTTCTGTGAAAGCTGGAAACATACATGCCTTGCTGTGACTCTTCTCACCAGGTTGCCCCTCCCACAGGTCTACCTCTCATTTGTCTACCCCAATGATTTCACCCGGCTGACGCACATGGAGACAGAGAACAAATGCTTCTACAGAGAGTCTCCCCTTTACCTGGAAAAGTAAGTGTGATGTAGGCGTGGTAAGGAAATACGACAGTCTGGCTGCCATAGTGCTCAGGAAGGCACAGCACTCTGGAAAAGCCATCCAGTGCCCTGTGTTTGGGAATGGAGAGGCTGCTATTTCTTGTACCATATGCTGCTATTTGACAATTGCATGTCCCGGGTTTATGAGTGTGTGTGTGTGTGTGTGTGTTAAATGCCACCAAGTCCCAGCTGTAAATATTGTATCTGCTTATGTTTTATTCCTGCTTTTTCATCTTTTGTGCTGCAAGTTTTATACTTTCGTGTACTGTATTGTTTTATATTATTTTATAATTCTGTAATCCACCGCGAGATTGTTTATTGAGAGGCGGTGTATAATCATTTTAGATAAATTAATCAAATATCCACTTAAAATGTAAAATATGAATGTAGCAAATACATAGTATGCTCATCAGGGATCTATAACTGGGCACTTCTCCCGGCTGGTAGCAAACCCAGGTCTGACTCTGCCAAATGTATGAAATGGCCCTGAATGGCTTCTCTGTCATTGACTCTCAGATCCAGTAAAACCCTTGGCTTCCACCCAGTCTGCCCTATGGTAGCCATTTCGCCCTGCGCTGTAGATGCTATTTGGCCCTTGGTCTTCCCTTGCATTTGACAGCAAAAGGACTAGTCACTGAGTTGGTCCTTCCTGACGCAGACATCGAGAAAAGCACCAACCCTAACCCTAACCAACCCAACTTTACAGTACCGCCCAAGTCCATTGGCCAAGGAAAATTCTGTTTATGTTCCTGGACCCTCTTTCCTTTCCTCAGCATCCATATTGCCCCATGTCATGTCCATGTGGCCACCCTCACTCTCATGGGCTATCCAGTAAATGAGCAAGATACTGTTTAAAGCCCTCGTCTTCTCCCTAAGGGCTCTGACTCTCAATTTCAACCATACTACCTACCCATCAATAGCTGTATGTGTGTGTCTCTTTGTCTATATTTACCTAACTATTTAGGAGACCATTTCACAGATCTCATAAAAGAGGCTCTGGCCCATGAAAGCCAACATACATACAGCTTCTGAAGCCGACAGGCCATCATTGAGCCACACAGATTTGTACTTACTGATCCTTCATCGGAGATTTTGTTGCTCCCCCCCCCAGATTCGGCTTTTACAAGTACATGAAGATGGATGAAGAGGAGGAGGATCTTCACCAGAGAGCCTTTCTGTTCCTGAACCCTGAAAGTAAGTTGTTCCTGCGAAATCAAGATGGGAGTCGCTCTGATCTTTCCAGTCCCTTTTCATGAGCATTTTGGAGTCCTGCATGTTGTACTGCTGGTGTTTTAACGTGCAAATCTGCTGAGCCATCTGCTTGCTGGGATTGTATTTCCCAGCCCTGGCAAGTTTGTCTCGGGTCAGGGCTGTGCAGCAGATTGCTTGGTAAGGAAGGGAGAAAACAAATGACCCAGCTTGGACACTTGCAAGAGCAGAGGCCACAACCCGCACCAGTGGCATACAGAGTGACCGCCTGCCTCTATTCCTGGATGTTCTCCTTTTCTCCACCCATCCCCAGCCAATGAGCATCACTTTGTCAGGGTCCTTAGCCAGGTTACTCAACACAGGGCTTCATGAGAAGATAACTGTTTATTGGTGAATCCAGAACTAGAGACACATGTACAGCTTGTGTCAGGAATGGCTGCCAATACGAGGGCCTCTTACTTATACTAGAATCAAACATCCCCCTGGTAAGCATGAGCCAATGGAGACATCTCACCTGGGTGGGCAAAGCAAGCAGGAAAAGCAAAAAGGCCGTTAACTTTCCCAGCCAAGTAAAAGTGCAGCTGGAGCATCTACAAGGTCAAGCACAAGATAACAAACAGTTGGTGAGCCAGGGAGAGCTGAGACAGAAAAGGGGAGGGCACCCCTCCACATTCCAGACCCATGACAGGGCTACCTGACACACTTGTGCATTCACAGCACCAAGCTGTGATTGTGATTTCTGCGTAAAGTTAGATGGATGCTTTCTTTTAACAGCTCCGACATCCCCACTGGTGCCTATTTAAAGAAGGGGAAACAGAGAATTATTTCTCATTATGCCAAGTTAGAATAGATGGGAGTTTGTGAGTATGCTGCTGGCTGCCTTCCTAAAGAAGGGCATGGGCAAAAACCACATTAACACCAAGTATTTGGCTTCTTGCCGGATTCGGAGGGGTGTGTGTGTTAATTTCTTTATTTTTTATTTTTATTTTTTTGCATCTTCTGCAACATGGTGTGATCTCTGCCTACAATATCCGCCTCTGCCACAGGTTTCCAAAGTTCATTCAGGCACGTAGCTTCTACAGTCTGAAGGCATATTGCCCAAAGCCTATTTGTGCCTCTTGATTGTGTTAAAATGCAATCAATACTTTCCTCTAAATCTTGTTTGTAGCAGTGAGGAGATTAGATCTCAGACCTTCACCCTGCCTTTGATGTGCAGCCTGGACTCTTCTGCATTAATTTATCTGGCTTTCCTGTTTAGTATGAGGGAAATTCTCTCTCCCAAGCTATCATGTTGAACTTCGTGTACTGCACTGAGAGAGGGGGCTGCACCACCAAATTTCTAGTTCTGTCCCAAGGACAGCAAAATTCTGTATTTGGAATTAATTACGAACATCAGAAGATTATATGCAATCGTTCTCACTTGGCATAAAGTCATTTGGTTTGCACAGATAATTTTGACCCTGCATAGATTTTTGGCAAGGGCAGACTAGAAGAAAGAGAAGAAAGAGGGGGTAAATGAAGGTCAGGTGTGCAGGCAGAAAGACTAAGGGGGTGAGGAAAGGGCAGGTATCCATGCCATGCAGAGCTCAGAATAGCTTAACCTCCAAAAACGTCATCCTTTTTTATAGTCAGTGTCTGTACATTTTCATATGTGCTTCCAGAACCATGAGGCCAAGCAACTTTATATTTAAGAGAAAACACGCCCTGACCTGGATAGCCCAGGCAAGCCTGATCTCATCAGATCTCAAAAGCTAAGCAGGGCCGGCCCGGACAAGGATTTGGATGGGAGACCTCCAGAGAATACCAGGGCCGGGGGGCGGGGGCAGGCGATCAAGCCATTCCTCTGAACATCCTCCGTGCTCCAGTAGGAGCCTCCAGAGGTCACCATGACTTCCAGGCACGGGCACACAGACACACACAAATGCAATAATATATATTCTTTTTAATTATAAAACCTCTGGGTCCTTGAGAATGTACATTCTATTACATTTTAATCTCATTGCTCAGAGTAGTATACATGCTTCTCCTGTCTTCCATTTTATGCTTACGACCAGGGGTCATTTCGTAGAAGAAGAGGTGCAGGAGCTCATTAGCATAACTCATTAGCATAACTTATTTGTATATGCCACACCCCCTGACATCACCAGAAGTGTGTCAGAAGGCAACACCCACCGCTGAGGCTCCACTGGACTGTTTTGGATTGCTAGCTATT